TATGATTATTTATTGGATTGATATTTGGCTACATTAAATATGCAAAGTATTCACGGCAACTGATTAATAACATGATTATTTATTGGATTGATATTTGGCTACGATTGATTATGCAAAGTATTCACGGCTCTCAACTAATTAATTACTCGGTTGTGTTGGCCTGCTCGCCTAGCCAGCGGGGTGGCGTAAATTGAGGCTAAAACAATGCACACGGAAACGCGAGCATTGTGGCCAGCAACGTTATAAATGTTCGATAGCCTGGCCAATCCGGGTAATACAGGTAAACTTCACACAGAGTTCCAAACCAAAGAATCAATGAATGTTGTGGAATGGACGAAAACTAACCTCAATCAAAGAGATATTATTGAGTTGCACTCGTCGTAAAACATCCACACAAATCGGGTCGAACGATGACGGTCGATTCGGTAGAGTGCACATCGGAGCAACGCAATGATCTGTTTGTTGCTGCTGTGGCTGGTGCTGAGTCTATAAGAGACCGCTACTGAATATATGACTAAGCTCATTTCGTGAATATTCTTCAGTGAGACGCAGATTTTTGAAGAATTCCAGAAGCTCAGCGCTTCTCGAATTCTTAAATAAACTAAAAAATAAAAGTTCCATAATAATACCCCAATAAAAATGCAGAAGATCACGTACGAATAAATACGAATAAACAGAGAAACTAACATATATGAAACCATTCTGATGAATCGGTGCATACGAATATCTAAAATAAGATCTATCGTAATCAAATCGAATCATCGTTAATGAATTAACAAATTTGTGCAGATAACTAACTAACGAACTGTAACTTAAAACAACGACAAACTGACTCGATATTCTCGAAAAGGAAGCAAAACACTGAATAACATTAAACATTTCAAAAAACAACAACAAAAAAACGTTGTCTTCGCCTTACTCTTGATTGATCACGTGTTGCTGCTGTTGTGAGCAATTCTGTTGTTGTTGGTGTGCCACCGAGATGAAGCAGTTATCGAACGCAGCACCGTCTTGTGCCACATAAAATCGTGGTGTTGCTTGATTTTGGGCAGGAGCTGCGGCGAATATAGTTGATATGGCTGTGTTGGTGTTTTGTGGGAACGGGTGATGGGTCGAGGTAGACGGATATTGTGCTGAACAGATTAGTGGGGTGGTTGAGGACGGCTGTTGATGGTGCTGTGCAGCCGACGGCAGGGGAGGTGGGTGAGTCATTGCCAG